AACAATATAGACTACAGAAGAGTAATTAAACCTTTTCATCAAAGACAAATTTTCTGCCATGCTTCATATTTCTTCTAGACATTTGCTTGTTTGGACTGCCTACTTGACAGATTTTTGGTTTATATATGARAGAAGTGAGCAATGAATCCACTGGTACCAGAATGATCAATATTGCATAACATCTTGAAGGGAACTGAACAATCTAAGGTGAGGTCAAAAGGAGCTTAGCCTGTCTCGAGTAACTGTAGCATTGCTGTACTTGCAACACACTGACATATCTATGTGGGTGYTTTATACATATATATTAATTATACAGTACTTATGTACACAGATGTACATGTAAATCCTGAATCAGAACACATTCAAGCAACTGACTGCTTGACTTAATGAAAGAATACCAACTGRAAAAAACCTGTTGTAACTTTAGCACGTATACAATTGATAACACATCAAAGGAACATCCTGTCCTTTAAGACACATGAGAATTCCATCATAGATTACAAAATAATCAGAATTTCAGACAGGAATCAGACTAAAATTGCTCCCTGCTTATCTCCCATGACCCCTCTAAAAAAGCAAAGGCTAAGCAGTAAGTGAAAAAATATAGTTCAGCAATTAATTAAAAAAAAAAAATTAAAACCAGGTGGTGTTCCCTGCTTTACTCTTTTTCCTTCTCCACGAGTAAAGCTTTCTGAAGAAAGCTTGCAAAATCAATTACTTCTTCTGAGGCAAGCAACTACTAAGTTACTATCTTAAAATTTAAGATTACTAGCTATGTACTACACTGCCATTTCAGTAGGGAAAAGTAATTTAATAAAAAGCAAGATGTTCAGGTGTTTTGGTCCAAAATCAAACAAGCACACTTAGGATTGGTCCAATTGCTAACATGATTCTAAAAGGAGAGGTACTGGTTTGCCCCTTGATAATACTCAGAAAAACAAACAAAAAGCTAACAGCAGGTATCTTGTTTTTCTTTCTGCTCTCTAGTCTTTTGTTCCTCTGGTACCTCAAACAATCCAACAACACATTTGCTTGAGGTACCAGAGAAAATACATTCTTATTACACTTCTAATACATGAGACAGACAAAACTTGAGAGTTTATAGCATTGTCTGGGCATTAATGATCATAATGATAAAAACAATAATGGAGCATTGTACTAACTGGCAAAATAATACTATGGGAAATTGTAGTGCCTATGCTTTATCAGCAGAGGAGTGGCAGTCTGCTCTATTTAATCCATGCACAGCTCTGCCAGAAAGCAAATGGAAACAGTGTCCCCATTCTATCTTTCTGAATAGCAACGCTGTGCTACTGTATAAGTGTCAGGAAGAGACAATTCTTCATTGGATCTTTACTACAGCACTTCTATGATTATAAAGAGTCAAGACTTGCAGACAGAAATATAAGATTGAGAGACCTGTATGTTGACCCAAATGCTGCCAACATACCAGCAGCACTGCATTTAAAAGATCTCTGTAATACATACTCATGTTGTCTCAGCTTGCTGTGATTTAGACAGAAGGGCTAGAGTAAGTAGCAAAAGCTGTAGCAAAAGTAGTCCTCACAGTTGTATGGACACCCCTTTTTCATTTTTCCTCATATTCCTGGAGAGGCCATCAGTTATATTCATTCATTTACAAAAAGGAAGCCAGAACAAAACTACATCTTGAACAGACATGAACAAAGCAGAGATGAACTGGATCGACTGTACATAGACTCCCATACAAAATCTTGAGTCAAAAGGCTATTCTTTTTTCTTGTTGGTTTCAAATAACTTTAATTTGGCTGTTTACAAAGCACAATTAATTTGCAATGTCCTTGGTGTTTCTGGAAATTGTCACTGAAGGAACACCAGTGGAGGATTCTGCACACAGCTGTCACACTCTTARCAACTGTCAATAGGCCAAACAATCTCGCCCAACTCATGCGAGCGAGTGTTTTTCTTTAGCAATTTATCAACCTTCAGGCTGGCAGAAAGGTAGAGATTAAGGYCCAAACTGTAACAGGCTTATAGCTACTCCCTCTTGAATTTGTTTGGATTGATTCTTAATACTTCCCTCACTGTCATCAAGGAAAGCAAGTGTAGCATTTCCTGTTAATTCATGGGAAAGTTTAAGAATAAATAAATTTTTCAGGGCACTCAAATGTCACTGTAGGAAAACTTACAAGTGGYAAACAAGAGGCAGACAAACGACACCAATTTCTTTAAAGAGGACAAAGCTGAATTAATTATTCAAGAAAATCAAATACAATTAGTAAAAGTGGCTGATGATTCCACCTRAACAGAGCTCAAAACACAAATTCTGTCACCTGTCAGATTGCTATGTCAGCTGCTAAGAACAGGTTAACTGGCAAAGGTTACATCTCTAATGTCTGTAAGTGATTATAGCTTTCAAAACATAGGTAACAATCACCAGGGATGGCAGTAAACCTCAGAAGCAACAAGGTAAAGATGAAAAAATGCATTGGAAGCCGACCCTTTCTTCTRCCACTGAAATCTGAAATTTAAATATTCTCTGCATTCAAGCAACAGGAGAAATATAGAACACTCAGCTGTAATACTAGAACAGCAGAGAAGAGTTTTCATTAAGCCTATTATTCTCTTTTTCATGAAGTCTATTATTTTATATATTTTTGCATGCTTGAGCAAATGCTTCTTTCACAGCAGATCTACCTTTTCCATTGGTTGCCTCCCATTTTCAATAACCACCAGGAAAAAGAAAATCTATTTTAAAAATKGTAGTATTTCCATGAAGAAAAATAAAATAAACTAACTAAAATCCTTGATCTTAAATATTAAAAGCACACACAGAAGCCACTTTGCTGGAAAGGACTTTCAAATTAAAAGAAAAGTCACCCAAGCCAATGTCTGAGTCTGTAACACCTTATCATAAACTCTTGGGAAATAAAAGTCTGAGCATCACATGTCCCAGAAGTTGTATGCTTACTGATAATACTCCAATTTTTCCTCTGCTGAACCATCATTACAATGCTTCTGGTGTAATTGCATCCACTTCAAAATTAAATGAACTAAAATTTTAATTTAAATTCAGTATTAGAGATGAAAAATTAACAGTAGTCTTCTCTTTCTTTTAGTCGCTCCTAAACTAGCAATATCCACTAAATGTGATGATTATATTCTTTGTCAAATACTGCACTTACATTACCCAGTGTTATGTACTTAACTGACAGGTAAGCATCTGTWCAATATGGTAATAGAAACCTGTTACGTGGCTGTAATCATGACACAATGAAATTAGAATCTCTAATACATTAMATGTTTTTCTAGCTACAAGTGTGTGCATGGCTATACTGGGTACTACTGAAAGGCATTTAAAGAACAATGCAATCATMAGGCACCATCAACATGGAATCATAAAGGGAAAGTGTTTAATTTGATAACCTTCTATGATAAGGTCACCTGTTGGAGCAGTAGATGGAGCTGCTGTGGAGGCAGCGAGGCTTTTGATACTGTCCCTTTTAGCATCCTTCTGCACAAGCTGTCCAGCTGYGAGATGAGCTCTGAGTGAAAAATTGGTTTTCAAGGGTTATAAGTAAATGGGACTACATTTGTCCGGCAACCAGTCACCAGCAGTGTTCCACAGAGCTCAGTTCTAGTGTCAGTTGTGTTCAGTGCATTTATCAGCTGTTTGGACGCAAGAGTCAAATGCACCATTAGCTAGTTTGATGATGAYATTAAACTGGGAAAAGCTGCTGATTCTCTTGAGGGACAAGATGCCTTGCAGAGGGATCTAGATAAACTGGAGCAGGACCATGATTAATGGTATGAAATTAGCAAGTTGAATTGCCAGGTTCTGCATCTGGTATTGAGTAATAGCAGCGTAAGTACAAATCAGGAGAGGAGTGGCWGGAGAGCAGCCCTGCAGAAAGGGATCYGGGGTGCTGGTGACAGCAGCTCYGTGTGAGTCAGCAGTGCCCCGGCTGCCAGGAGGGCAAAGCCCAWCCTGGGATGCACSAAACACAGCATCACCAGCCGGTCAAAGAGGTGACTGTGGTCAGGGTTGGTGCAGTCTCACCTTGAGCACTGGGTAGAAATCTGGGTTCCACCATTTAAAGAAGGATGTGAAGGTCCTTGGATGCATCTCCAGAGGACAAAAAACTGGTGAAAAGGCTGGAAGGAGTGTCCTGTGAGGAGCAGCTGAGAACCTTAGGTTTGTCTAGTTTGGAGAGAATGAGACTGAGGGTGACCTCACTGGACAAAGTTCTCGAGGAAGGAAAGTAAAAAAGGAGGTGCTGAGCTCTTCTCCCTGGTGTCCATTGACAAGCAACATGAGAATGGCTCAAACCTGCACCAGGGAAGATTGAGACTGGACATTAGGAAGCATTTCTCTATGAAAAGGGTGACCAAAGATTGGAACAAAGTTCCTCCTAGAAAAGGCAGTTGCTGCCCCAAGCCTATCAGTGTTTAAGAGGTAGCTGAACAATGCCTTTAACACCATGCCTTAGCTTTTGATGAGCCATGAAGTGGCCAGGACCAGGCAGTTGGACCACAGGTCATTGCTGAAGTGATTCCTTTCAACTGAAAGACTCTATTCTATTCTAAAGTAAAAAAAATGAAAGAACCAAAACCTCAACAAAAAAAAAAAAAAAAAAAAAAAAAAAAAAAAAAAAAAAAAAAAAAAAAAAAAAAAAAACAAAAAAAAAAAAAACAAAAAAAAAACAACCACCTCAGCACCCAACAAAGACCCAACCAATCACATAACCATCCCCAAATCCAAGTTGCTGAAAGATAAAAGGGAAAGTGCGAATAACCTTGCAAAGGAGGTAACTATACAGTGGGTTGAAGTGCTAAATGTATTTTTTTTAATTACAGGAAAACAAAGGTTKACTTGCTAGCATTTGTGTCAAGTACACAGCAACAGTATTTATTTCCACTGCAGCATCAATACCTCAGGGTGAATCCCACCCAGCAGAAACACAGCTCTACAGTTAAAATTATGTCTTTTTTTTTATGCCTAATAAAAAACACAAACTCACCAGGGTACAGAAGATGCATTGGCATTGTGCTATTGTTGTCATCTGCTCCACAGGGTATTCACCAAGGCAGAGCTTACAGGACACTAAWGGGTCAAGTACCAAGTCCCAGGTAGGCCTGTATCTCGCTGTAGTCATTGCAGAGCAGTCTGAAGAACAGCACAAAAAGTAAAGATATTCCATTATTTTCTTATATTGATACTCAGTACATTACTGTCATTGGAAAACACATTGTCAGCTATTGCCTGTTGGGTTTGTTTTTTTCAATGACCTAACTAACCAGCAACAGTTAATTTGACATTACCAGMACTTGCATTCCCTTTTATATCCCTTGCCTGATAGAACTTGCATACAGAATGCAGAAGGAAAAAAACCCACACGCATAATATATGGAAAATGTGAGAGTAAGCAGGAATACCCTTAGGTCACAGGCTTTTGTYGCACTTTACAAATGCAAAAATCTCATTTCCTATTCCTGTGATTTTTATCACTAGTTACAAGCTTTCTCTCACTAACATGAAAATATACTCATGACATTCCTTAACCTCAGCTACCCAGGCAAGACTGAAAAGGTCTTTCATAAGCCAGGCATTTATTATGACCTTTTCCAGCATGATTTCAACTCACAGAGCCAGATATTTTTGTTCCCAAGAGCATRACAAATCAATCAGTTTGCTGATAATTTTAGCAAGAACTATAAATATTTTGGGTACACTACAAGTTTTAGCCTGCATTTTTCCTCCAACCCTTTACATATGCTGAGACCACAACTTCGTTGTAGCTACAACCAACTGGGGCAAATAAGAGCACCAAGTGAGCTATAAGAAGAGTCTGTAATAAGCTATGTATCACCCTCATGACAGTGATAGGATAGGACAGTGCAGAGCATCTTTATCCTAGGCTTCAGGGCCCAGATGGAGTGCTGTCAACTGACTAAGCAGAAAGACGAAAAGCTAATTTATGAATTTTACATGAAGAAAAAGAAAACAAAAACCCACACACTCCCCCAAAACATCTAGGGTAACTTACGGAGTACACAAAATTTTAAAACGTATTTACTAGCAATGTTTTGTCATTGTGACATTGACCTTCCAAGTGTAGAAAATCCACATCCCAAGCTACTGAGAGGTTTATATGATCGTGCCTTCCTCCTTCCCAAAATCAGGTGTTTCCTTACCATCATCATACCAGCTCAAACCATGATCACAGTTTTTTTCAGGGTTTTTTTCGTAGGTTTTGTTTGTTTGGGGTGGTTTTGGATTTTTTCTGTTTGTTTTTTGTTTGGTTTTTTTTTTTTTTTTTTTTTTTTTTTTTTTTGGTTTTTTTTGTTTGGTTGTTGCTTTGTTTCTTGAATTTTGGTTTTTTTTCTCCTGACTCCACCAGCCCTTGCAGGAACTGCTTCTTTTTAAGTCATATCTATGAACTTTGCAGGACCTCCAGAACTGCAAGCTACTTTAATGCTTACTAGACTAGATTTAGGCAGATGTTCAAGAAAAAYGTGCTTTTTGTCCCCCAAGAACTCACATGCAGACTTCACAAATATTTCYCTGAAGTCCAAGTCTTTGATATTCAATTAAGTGTGGGCATAACTCCACCAAGGTCTCTAACATTTCTGAAACAAAACAAAGATTTTGTCAGTCCTCCCATTCAGTCCAACCCATTAGAAGATGCTTTTTATAAGGTACAGAAGGGATACCAAAGACTTTTTTTCTAGTGCAGTCAGCAGGGAGAAGTATGGGGGAGAGAAGAAAGGTTAAGCAACCCCATTTCCAGTGCTGCGCTAGATCACTTCCTCTAAAAGCCCACACACAAACTCCACACTGCTTTAAAGGAAACACATGGAATAGCCCCACAGAACAGCACACAAATAATGGCTCCACCTCACAAAATACAACTTGTGTTATGCAGTCTTTAGATCCTTCAACATGTAAGTCTGACATGGTGATATKAATGAAACCCTATGATTTTTAAGGCTACTAGATTGTTTCTTTACTTCACCACTACTTTTTCATTTCACACAAATTACCAGAAAAAAACAGTCTTCTTCTTCCAAACTCTGGTTTATCTGACATTTATAGATAAGTTCATGAGGTATTTGAGAAGTAGTGACCAAAAACATCTGAACTGTCTGCTATTAGCTGGAGTGTCCTTTGCTTGTCCTGCCTAGTTTATTGCATAGTTGATGCTCATGGCAGCAAGTAGATGAAAATAGAACATGAACAATGAAGGACAGATTCATGTTAAGAATGCACTTGCATGTATCAGGCAGACCAAAATTACAGCAAATGTCATGACTAAGATGTAGAATCAGACAATTCAGACTAAAGCTCATCAAATATATCGCATGGCTCAATCCAGGAAAGAAGGATTTTATATATAGATATAAAGAAAGATTATTTATATATATATATATATATATATATATACATATACACACACACATATATATTTATTCAGTTTGGGCCAATAAGTGACAACAAAGGGAAAATATCAAGCTTACCCTTACAACAAGGCTTACCCTTGTTTTCTAGGACATTCAACAGAGACTTACTGGTATCACTGTGGTAATTCTGCTTTTGCAGCACAACTATACTGCAATAACACCTCACTGGGAAATATTTTTCCTCTTTGTCTTTTGTAAAGCAAGGATGAATCAAAGTAAAATGCCTTTCAAGTTGGCTTTGAACAGACCAGAAGAAATTAGCTGCTCCAAAACAGCTGGCATTAAATCCATGCTCAATTTAGCCATGGGGATAACTGAGTGAAATATGAATTCACCCTTCAATGGTAGCAGAGCCATTCCTGCTCACCCCTCCTTACCAAACACCTTGTTTTATTAAAGAAATTTTACATTCATTATGGGCCAAGGGGAAGACACAATGTCATTGGTGCCATTAAWGCAAGAAACAAGAAATTTGCCCACTAGCCTAGAAAAAGTTGGACAAAAAGCCTCCACACTCTACTGGATYAGCTCTCCAGCTATCCCTGTAAAGGAAGAGAGAATGAAGCTTTTCAAAGCATGGACTAGATCTTGTTTCATGATCATCCAACATATTGCTGCAACTAAATAATAAGCTTCTATGCTTACACCATGATGCTTAAAAAAGCCTTTAAAAATCATAAAATCAAACAACAAACTCTTAAGAGAAAAGCAGAAAAACAAACACCTTCTGTCAAAACTACATTAAAACTCCTCCTGTTCCACAATTGTGGCCTCTTATGGCTTCAGAYTGTATTCCCATCCTTTCTAGTGATGTGCAGTGCTTCAGGGGGAATGCTAAGTAATTGCAAGAAGAAAGACAAGGATTTGGAGATTGGAGAAACAAGATATGGAAAAATGTCTTGGTGTTGAATGACAGCACCAGTTACACAAACAGCCAGTAGAAAATTTTGCACCATGGTTTGGCTGTCTGCTAGAAGGTCCCAAGAAATACAGCTAGCAAAGCTAAAGCACTACAGTCCAACAGACTTCAGCATCCTAAATATATAGTTCACTGGAGATTGTGTTGCTTGCCAAACTCAGTCCAAATATCAATATGGACAGCAGACACACCAAATCAAACTCAGAGGCACAGAAAATTAGAAGAGAAGTTCAGACTCCCAATTCTACTGCATTCAAAGTCAGAATCATTTAAGTATTTTTGCTGACTGCGGTCTATGTCTGGTAATACCGAATTTGTAAGATATATGGTAAGATAACACATGATTTTCTGGGACAGCATCCCAAAGTAAGCTGGGAGTCGGAAGCAGAGGAAATAGCTTTAATAAAAGTTTGTTCAGAACAGTCTTGTGATAAATAATTAACAACCTGACTAATGACTGTTTAATTCGGTAATCATGTGCATGTCCACACTGAAAGGGAGCCTGTGCATAAAGAGAGAAGTGACTGAAGTCTTCTTACCATAATAACATGTTAACATATATATGAATGTGACTCAGGCATGAAGTCACATGCATATGATGTGATCATGAGATGCACATGAAGGGAAAAGGAAACTTTCATTATTTCTGAAGAACAATTAATGAATTAAGTGAACACGAATTGTATTTCTGAACAGTTATCCCTCAGTTTTTGGTCCACCTACACAGACCACATTTTCTAGTAAGAACAAGCAGCTGAGGACCTCTGGTAAGTCAAGAACAGAACAATTCTTTCTTTTTAGTCTCAGACTGTCGTAGAAAACAGGCTGAAATACTATGAAAACTGTTGCAAAAGCAGGAAATAATGCAACTTTTTTACATACAAGTCATTCAAGAAATCAGTATGATTTTCCTTATTGCATGCTAATCAAGCATTTCATGGCATTGTACAGTTAAACTGCAACTGCATCATCAACACTCAGGATACATGACTGCCTATGTGAGAAGAGTGACTAGAAAATAGGGTTGAATAAAAGTCATATGCAGCACATTAACTGGTGGGTCTTTTCCACCAAGCAAGACTCAAAATAGAGATTTCAGCAGAATCTCAGTTTCAGCTTTAGGTCAGGGATGGGTTTAATTTCTAAATTAAGGGCTTCAGTCCCCTCTCCTACCAGACAGATCTGCCTGAAGGAGTTAATCTGAATTTACTGACATGATGAAAAGCAGCTCTTTTAGAAATCAAAGGAAGGGACTTAAATGGGAATTAAAATTTGTTCTCAATCCTCTCATTCCTCTTTGCCAAAATAATTCCAATTAAAATAATACAGGGTACTAAATTAAATCAGACATCTGCTACAGTAGAGTTTTAGTATTGTCTATTTGTATTTATGGATATTAAAAAAGTATATCATTCAGACTACATTTTCTCTTGTATATGTCAGTACAATTATATATATAATAGGTATATTTATATAATAYATATTTATACTATTAATCTTCATATTAAAATATAGATCTGTACAAAAATCTACAGATTTTTACTTATTAGAAGAAGCCCACAGACATCTGAAGTGGAGTCACCTGTAGAAAGGCAACTACGTGCACCCTGGCACTGGCACTGCCTGCCACATCTATTAAGTGAATATTTTCGACTTTGGCCTAAACAGTTCTGAGCTTTCCTGTGCAGCCACAGCTGTGGCTCACTGCACGCAATCCCACAGCAATGTGCCGTACCCTCACGCCAGCAGGGACTACTCCCCATGACCGAGGCTGGTGGCTAAGGGTACTCAGCAACAGTCATGCAGCTTGCATTATTGGTACCCCTCTGTCACAGCTGGACTTTCATGCCACTTTGCACTGTTCCTAGGCTTTTCCACAGATCTGCAGAAGGGTCATATGAAAGAAACCTACATGACATAATTGATCACTTTCCAACTGTTTTGTGTTGGTGTCACCAGTTTTTATTGCACAACAATACCACAGATAAAGTAATTTTAAAGTCACTTTATAAAATTATTATATCCWCCCACCAGATAGACTTTACAGTAACACAAACTGACGGGCAAACTTGGCATCTCTCACTTATCAATCACAGTCAGTTACCAGCATCTATCACTGCAGTAACTGTGTCTCCAAGTCTTCATCCTCACAGAACCGCTTGGGAGGTAAAGCRGAATCAACCTCTGATAGGTGTCAGTCAGACTAACACAGAAGGCTGATTTACATGGGTGTTTAGAGATGACTAMCTTCAGAGTTTTGATGCCTGCCTTCCTTAGCTTCTAAAATCCTGTAAACCTGCCAAATGCCTACCTAACTCTCCAGGCTCACTCATTTATCTGATCCACAATCAACTGCACAAGTCCAGCAGATAGGAATGATCCTTTGAATTCCAGACAACCCCAGCCACTAAAGCCACATTCTTTCCTCCAGCAGTATAACAGGCTGCTTTTTATAGGCATAACTCTTTTCAACATGTAAGAAACTTCAGCTTATGCAGAACAGTGCAGAAAGTCATGTCAACACATTTTCTACAATGAACTCTTCAGATCTGGCCTTTTAGTCCCTACACAGGCTAACCAACTTCAACCTCTCCAGGTTCTTATCTTCAAGCTATTCCAGGGCCCAAACCCAGMAGAGATGCAAGACTATGCATAAGCTTAGAGGACTGCCAACAACCTCAGTCTCCTGGACAACATAGCACATGGGAAATAAGCTCTTACTTTGAGTTAAAACAATTATTCTGGGGACTTCAGTCCACTCATGAATAGCTACTATGCTTTTTTGGTTTACCTCCCTGACTGATAGAAGTCCTGTATGATATATATATATACACATATATATATACATATATATATATATAAAATATGTACATATATAAACACACATGTATATATGTGTATAGATATAGATGTATAAAAATATACATGTGTAAAGATTACATTGAAACATTCCAATGCCAAGAGAAAAAGAAAAGGAAGAATGTCTGGTTTTTCCCTGATAAAAGGTATCTGAACAATAACATTGCATGTAAAACAAAGGGGGACTGCTTCAGGGACGAATCACTGTTAGGGGATGTTAAAAAAAAAAAAAAAAGGAAAAAAAAACCCCACACCAATTTCTTTGCTAAATACCTGGTAGTTTTTTTTCTTGTTTCTTTTCCAATAATTAGACTATTACATATGGCAACCACCCCTGCCAAACCTTAGACAATGTGATTTTATTACTGCACAGACCATGAAAGATTTTAAA